CCGCTGGGATTTGACCTCACCGTGGTGTAACGGTTTCTACACTTCCGCGGCTCACTGAGCTATACTTACAGGTTGTCATCCCAGGTTGTCTAATGGTTAGAAGTCAGACCAAAAATGATTCCTGGCTTCCATTTTGGGCGTCGGTACATGTGCGGCAACTTGTTCTGTAAAATGGTGGCGTACCTGCATTTTATCCAAAACACCGTTGCTTTGAGGTTAGTCTTTTTTTGGCCAATGGCTTTGATCGGGGACCCTAATTGCCCTCTTGTCTAAGTGTGAGAAGTATCCCAGCCCACATACAACTTTGAATTGTACACTTAAGAATAATCCCATGTTACATCTGCCGCCGCGTTGTGCCATCAACTGGCGCGCCTCATTTGCTGCATACAGCAGAGAGGGTAAGCGAGAACAGACTATTGTTGACGCCCCCTTGTTTCACATACTTGTTCTTCCCCCTTCCCCTCCTCCTCCCACAGTAATAATTCCCTCTTTTTAGCCTGTCAGTTGGGACTGATGACTTCTTTCATTCTGCATCGGTTTTGGCAGCAGCATCTGCGCGTCATCCGGCGCTGATATCCTCAGGAACTGATCCCATCCCAACTAATCCCCCATCCTCGAATCTCAGTCTATCTGACTGATTTTAACGCCCAAATTCTGAAGCAAACCGGACAGCAAGCTCTCTCTCACACTGGACTCGCTTAACATTGATTGTGTTTTGTATCAGACACGAGAATTCAAGACGCAAACACGGTGACCGAGGTAAGTGCCTCATCACTGTTCACTCGGTTCCGACAGGGCACCCCTGGAGATCCACGAGCCGCTGCGGCAAGATGTACAGATATTATCTTCCTTAGGCATCCGTCCGAAGGGTCCTTGTTCGACTGGATACCCGTTGATCATCGCTTATTTGCAGTTTTACTGGCAACTTCCTTCAAGGAGTTTCACAAGCGGGGAGTTGGTCGTTGTCTCTATGTCGTGTCTGTTTACGCTTCAACCGATTGGAGCTCTGATACCACCAAACACAAGGTTTATGACGCCCTGAATGCTCTGTTTGTGGCGAGCTGGTTGCTTGGATGTCGGTGTGGTTGCTAGGAGCTATGAATACTCAATTAAACAAGCTGACTGGCTCCGTGACTCATTGGGTATCGACATGGATTGGGCTCGGAACGTACAGACTGACGAACGATTGGTTCAGCTATATGCTGACCGCATGCTGTTTTTCTGCAGTACCAACTTTCAAAATAGCTGAAGTCGTCTGACCACATGGCATCTTACGAAAACGTGATGGATACGAACTCAAATTGAACACATTATCATCAGTTACCGATAGCGCGGATCAATAGCTGAATTCCGCTCGTCTTGAAACACATGCATATTTAACGACCTGCTCGTCCAGAGTCGGTTTCTCTGTAGTTTTGCAGGGCCGCATACGGTGCAGACAAATGACTTAGCAACTGAGAGCCTAGCAGATCCGGATGTTGGACGAATTTATCAGGATCGTCTTCTATATTTCTAGCTGTTCCACCATCGGATGTCAATTTGCCACATCTTTGCACAGTGCCGAGAGTTTTGCTTGTGAAGCGGAGCTACCAAGCCCACTCAAGCACTGGATATCAAACAAAATAGTAGCACTGCTGGGATCTCGGAGGAACGTTGCCGCTGGTTCCGAACATGATTTTTACCCGACGAGTTGTCCTACATCCAGTGAAGGTGAGCGTGCGAAATGACCATGACGCTCAGTGGACACGCAAGGCTAACTAACAGAAGAGACCGCGAATGCCCGAAGAATGTTTCAGTTGCTCCGTGCGACCGGATCCCAGAAGCCGGTGGAGCTGAACTCTCAAGGATCAAATTGGCGCGACCATCTTGATTAACGAAGAACGCATCGACCGTTGGGTCGAACACTTCGAAGAATGATTATCGTCACCATCCACCGCCACTCATTTGCATCATACAAGTGAAGTGGAACCCTGGATACTGAACCTGAAACCCCCTACGGCCTTAAAGGTTTATAACTGTATATGTTTTCTCAAGTGAGATGGCTCAGTGGTTACAGCGCGAATTAGCTGATCGGAAGGTTCGTGGTACGAAGCCGATCTCTGCTTCTCGACTTCCACTGTCTAGGCTTGGGCAACATGGCAGTAGCCCAGCCCTCGTGTTTCCTTCTGTCGGGATGGCAGTTAGGCACCGCAAGGGTGCTATGACTGAACGATGTCCTCTTAAGTGCCACCGAGTCCTGGTCCAGATGGCTGCTTATTTGCTTTTTTCAAATTGGGGGTGAATTTAACAGTCAGCGCTAGACTGATCTGTTTTTTTTTTGCATTTTGGAGAACCGGAAAAACCAGAAAACCTGAGGAAATGGGCGACAATGTCTACTTTTTTAAAAAGGAGGCCCTTGGTGAGTGTGGCGATCACAGGGGAATCAGCCTAGCCCCTATCGTAACGAGATTCTTGGCGATACTTCTTCGTCGCTTTATTGTGGCTCGTGAAAAACTGACTTGGGAGCAGTAAGTGGGATTCCTGCCTGGTTGGGATTGCGCTTGCTGAGTCTTCACACTCCGTCAGGTGCCAGAACAACGCCATGTGTATAAACGACCCACAGTTTTAGTACTCCCGGATTTCCTAGTCGTATTCGATGTGGTGACCGGTCAGTTCTCCTTGATACGATTGCCCATGCAGGAATACTCCAGAAGTTTGTGGACATGGTAAATTTCTCGTATTCGAAGACTTTCGGGCGTATAGGAGTATACGGAGAGCTTTCCAAAGGCTTGTGTATGGATTGGTTTCCTTCGGGTATGCCCATCCCACCTCATTTTTGTGATTGACGAGATAATGAGATGAACGCTTGGACGTTTTCAAAACCATGGTGTCTAAATAGGTGCTGACGAAAACCTTATCGATCTGGAATATGCAGACAATATCGTTCACTCCTCCGTAGGGAGCAGGCACAGATGTTCTTGGATGAATTGACCAAAACCATTCTGTCCTTTGGCGTGCACTTTGGACCCACAAAATGTAAGGTCAAGCTTCTGGAAGCTACTGAGCACACTACAATCTGGTGCTTATTTTGCCTTATTAAAGGCTGACGTTACCCTAGGACGCAGGTCTCGGCGCGTCACATAGGTTGGCTTTATTGGACTGTTCAACTCTGCTCAGGAATTTTTCGCAAGTAGCCGGAGATCATTATTCTTGGGCACTCCTGGGAAATGTGTCCAAAATTTGCACCCTACGGGGATGGTCTGAACGGACATGAGTGGCACACACGAGAATATCACCTCACCACCGCATGCTAATGGCTATATGATGAACGCGGCTCTATGTGTGTCCACCGTTAGGATGACGACAGGTAGCGCAAGGTCGTATACTGCTTCTGAATTTAGTACTATTGAGGAACAATCGGTGATCATTACAAAGCCATAGAAGATGATTGTTATTCTCACTGTGTCTTAATTCGAAGCTGAAATGGTCAAGGATTTTAGCCTGTGATGAAATGAAACGTCCTACCTGTGCGCTGAGATCGCCGGCGGTTAGTACAGGGTAGGAGAGTGCTTAGTTCTCGATTGATGGAATCTTTCATCGAATCAGACCAGCAGTTGTTTGGTGCATATAGAGACACTACAAATAAAGAACGGACATTATTTCATTTAGTGCGGAGTGATGGAAATTGACAAAATTACGGCGTTTTAGGTCATTTTCGGGGATCGGTCCGTGTAAGGATGCCTGGCATGAGAATCTGTAGGTATCACAATGGCAGCTTGCAGTATGGCTCAGTGGGTCACGGAGGTACACACCATCATACCACGGCCTGTCTTCGTGACGTGTTCACAGGTCACATTATTTTGTTGAGTCATGGTGTTCAGCCAGTGCAAACCCCGTTTAGAATCGAAGATTCGTGACTTGGTGAGTTTCGCATTCCCGAAATATGAATAACATTTTTGGGATTGGACAATCATTTTGGCTGCGATCATCCAGAGAGTTGGGCCAAATTCGTATACCTTCGAGGTTTTTACTGGTGGTGGACGATTTTGGGGTAATGTTGAGCCATGTATAAGTAGGATTTCGTTAGCTATTACCAGTCCAAAGTATTTTCAATGGTTACCTGATCTTACACCTTTAAAAGTCAACCGAAAACGCAGTTTTGTGACTGCAGAGCTGGGTCTTTTTGAACCATTGACACCCAAAGTCCACTGTTTTTCGACTGGTGCTTTTAACGCATTATTCCCCTTGTATTTGACGGACAGGTTCGTCGAACAGTCTTAGGCAAAAATGGTTTTGCATTACGGGACGTGATCCAAACCCACCGATTTTGGCGACTGGGTCATCTCCCGAGTAATCCGCCATTCGCCATTTATGAATGCAAGTAGAAGTTAGGGAAAGACAGTCGGTGATATGGTCAAATGTATACTTTCGTGGAGGCAGTCGATTTCCCGTTTGAAATAAATCCTAACACCAAGT